GGGGGGGTTAATAAAAACGGAAGCCTTATTTCGTAATTCATTTGAATGTTTTGTTACTGTTTTGTTGTTTTATTATCGTTTGTTTGTTTTTTAAATCCTGGACTTGAAACTTAAAATGCCAAGCAACTACATACATGCTGTGGTGCAAATTCATATTTCGATGTGTGCATGTTAGATTCAAAATGTGAAGCAGCATTGCCTTTTGTCTGCTGCTTATCAGACGACATAGTGTCTGCTACACGTCCTTTAAGAGTTTACGTTCATCAAAACGGAGTTGAAATCGAAGACCAAAAAAAGTGAGACCTTTCTCCACGGAACAGTATTATTATTATGATTTTTTGGTGTGTTCCTTTGGGAACAACTTAAGTAATACCCGATCCCTTTTTTAACCAGTTAAACAGGTAAATTTAGTCCCGCCAGGTAGTTACTGGGCGGAAGAACCATTACAGTTTTATATATATAGCAACCTCGAATCTAAGATTAATTCTACCGACATACCAAACTCTGGGAATGCTTTGTTCTGATTTTGCTGCGTTTGTGGGCTAGCCTATCCCATGGGATTTTTTATATTTTGTATTTTTTTTTTACTTTTTTTTTTTTTTTTTTTTGGGGGGGGGGGGTGATTTACACACTACGTACGCTTTCAATGATGCTTCAAATGCGTACATTAAAGAAACGGACAAACAAATGACATTTATTGCCCAGGGGCAAAGCTACATAAAAACCAAAAATATGTATCTTGCTACATGAAGTCCCACTTCTATTTTCACGTGGTAAGCAGAGGACAGCAAAACCACAGCAGGCCTTTAGAATGGCAAATTTATCTATTCTAAAAGACAGCATATTTGGCGAACATACGATGCAACATGAAAAATCGATTTCAAAATTAAAGCAGGAAATCGGTGAACGCAACTGGTCTAAACGGGACCTCATATTTTACTGGTCCAAAAGGAGCTTTGAAGTCACTGGTCCACCGTTCCTCAACACAAATTATGTAATTTCGGGTGCGTGCAGTGGGTGCGACCTCGAGCGTTTGGGGGATGAGTGAGACAGAGAGAGAGAGAGAGAGAGAGAGAGAGAGAGAGAGAGAGAGAGAGAGAGAGAGAGAGAAGGAGAAAGAGAGAGAAGAGGGGGGGGGAGAGAGAGGGACAGATTAAGAGTTGTTTCTTCTGTTTGCCGGATTGAATCGATTGATAATAGAAATATAGTAAGAGAGAGATGGAGGGAGAGAGAGAGAGGGAGGGGGGAGAGAGAGACACTGAGAGGGGGTCGGGTGAGGATGTGTGAACAGTTTTCACAATTAGTCGATACGTTAATGACATAAACCCAGAGAGCAAAGGCAGAGCAAGATCAAAGACAACAAATATACACACACACACACACACACACACACACACACACACACACACACACACACACACACACACACACATACATACACACACAAGCGCTGGCGCCTTAGCAAATATATCAACTACACCATGAATAATGAGGTATTTTAAAAGGTAATTTATTTTACTTCAATACAAATACGATCCACCAGATTGCCACTTTCCATTTGAGCAGGGCACGGACTGGAAACGATCAATACCACTATTTCGGAACAGCTCGTTTTTCAACACTGTTATTACAGCTTTATGGACACTATTATTACTACATAACCAGCAAGAACACAGCACTGAAAAATAAAAACGCCCGCACCGCATTCAAGAAAATATACCCAACAAGAATGATAGCCTTATAATAGAAACAAAGTTGAATCAATCCATAATTCGGTGTCATCAAATGAAGCTATTCGATTCATCAAACGCTGAGAGGACACCTAAGAAGAAACAATTGTAATTCTAGAAATTCTAGAGTCCTCTCATCAATCTTTTTAAAAACATAATTCAGTTACACCCAATCAGATCATATACAATGTAAAAGAAAGTTCTGGATTATACCAAACTGATTTTACAACTCTTATAAGGAGGCAGCCCCCTGCAACAATGAATGTATGATTACTATGTTACAAGAATTAGAAACTCTAGGCCCCTATTAAAAATTCCTGAGATGACAAACTGCACTGTTTTGACCTTAATAAAAAATAACAGCTGACCACACTGAACTCAAGGATATTCCTGCGCATGACAAATATAAACATCGGTCAGTTTCAGTCTATGTCAGTCTGAGCATGTGAACCAACAAATTACAAAGTAAGGGAGCCTGGAAAAAGGGCACATATTTAAATATATTTCAATTGTATACCAGTGTAATTTACTTTGTCTCCCGTTATCTCTTAAAAATGGCAGCAGGGAAACAGAATTTTTTATTTTTACCTGGCCAAGTGGTTAGGCCAGTGAGTTCAGGTTCACATTAAAGGTCAAGCATGACGTCGATGTTCGGCCTTGATGAGTGATCACTGAGGTGTGTCCTTTCAAGAGCAAGACACGATAAAACCCTAGCTAAAAACATGCTTTTTAACCCCAAACAACCCAGGATACCGGACGCTAGCAACCAGTAATGGCCTGTTTGTTGGTTGTCTGTGTCTGTAAGTTATAATGTCATACACATACACTTTAGTACATGTTGTATCCATGCACCATATTTGTGTTTCTATTTTAAACCAGGTCTCCTCACAGGGATCAGTAAAGGTAGCATTTTAGGGCCTTCTATCTATTTTAAAGTAAATTAATATTTGAAAGCATAATAATATTCTGTAAACCATAATTTAGAGTTTAACAAGTCCTTCCTATAAAGAACAAAAGTTTAAAGGAGCCCAAAGCTTTGGCTACGGCAAGCTTTGATGATTTTTTAGTAGTACAAAAGTCAAAAGAAACATTAACATCCTGAACTGTCAGGTCCTGAACTGTCAGGCATTCTGCAAGAAAATAGAGTTTCTTCTTTAACTTTTTCCCAGGAGCTGGTTAAAAAAATACTAAATCAAAAGTTTTAAAATATATATTGTTTCCCTTAAAATCTTAAGCGGAAGAAATAATGTAGGGCTCACAAAGATTTTACATAAAAATAAGAAGTTTCAAAACTTGTTTTATAGTCGTTTGCCACTGAATCATGCTTTGTAAAATAAAGAAATTCTAATCAACTGTTTTATCTAAGACTAAACGCCCCTATGAAAATAATCAACATGATGCTCTTTTAGTTTTCAATATTATAAATATAAATTAAATATTTTCTGCTACTACAAGTACAACAAAGCACTTTTATCATAAATATTGAGTCTAACAGTTGATCTAAAGCGACAAGTGTACTGTACAATAATAGTGACTTGTACTAGTACACAAGAAGCCACTTGGAGAAAAAAACAGGCGCCTGTCCACGTGGCCATTTACAACGATGTTTCACAACTATTCTAAGATTCTACTTGACAGTCTACTAGCGGACCAGTCCCACAAATGTCCCACTTGACAGTCTACTAGAATCCACATTACTAAACATTTCCCTCTGCGTTTACACAGGCATGGGACTGTCATTGGATTAAAAATGCTTTGGTGCTTGTAATTTTTTATCATTGTTATTTTTTAAACAATACGGATAATAATGATGATCATTATCAAATTGTATACAACAACTACAAAAAGAATTTAATAACATGAATAATATCAATAATAATAATAATAATAATATAACTAATGAATAAAATAATAATTTAACAATAATAATAACAATCTAATAATAGCGAAATGAAGAACCATACTTTCATGGTGATTGTGAGCACCTTTGTGAAATCTTTTTTTAACCACAGATTTCTCATATATGTACCAAAATGTGAACTTCCTTGGATCTTCAAGGTTCAATGGCATGGCCTGGCCTGGCCTCTTGATCAGTGACATCCGTTAATCATTTGGAACCATTTATGACTTTTGTTGCCTAGTTTACAGAAGAAGCAAGAAATTAAGTAGGAAAAGGAACCAATGCAGATTTCATCATTAAAAAAAATAATTTTTAAGTCAAGTTCTGCTGCACAACTGCAGGCATTCTCTCCTTCCCTCCCCCTCCCCCTATATTTTTAATGTCGTGCATCAGGATGTGGGAGTGTTAGTTACTTTTACTTTCGGTGGCCTAGTGGTTAGGCTCTCGGACTCGCAACCGTAAGGTCGTGGGTTCGAATCCCGTCAGGGACCCGACGTTGTGTCCTTGGGAAAGGCACTTTACACAAATTTTCCTCACTTCACCCAGGTGGGAATGGGTACCCGGCTATAGACAGCGAAAGATCTTGTTAGTTTGTTAGTGTTTGAGCGCTTAATCAGCTGCTTGCACTGTATGCTTCCCGGGAAGCTGAGAATGTTTCGGAGTGTTCTATGGTCTGCTGGGGTAATAATATAGTGTAAAGCGCATAGAGCCTGCTGTTGAGCGGGGATATGCGCTATACAAATGCTATCTATTATTATTATTATTATTACAACATTAAACTGCACAAGGTTCGACGAATATTGTGATAGACTGAAAGAAAAAATAATTTATACCCAAGGTCAATCAGGCAGAACTTTTCAGGAAGACCACATTTATCGCACTAGGCCAGCAAGTGGACTAGCACACCAAGAAATCATTGAGCAAGTAAAACTATCTCGTAAAAAGAAATAATTACTGTAAATAAATCACTGTGTCATTATATTGTTCCCCATGCATAAAAAAAGAAGCTCTAAACAAAGATTAAATGATAGAAGACTCACCTTGACTTCAATCCTGCACATAAGAATCAAATCCTTTTGTCCAGAAAGATTATCAACAACAGGTCTTTTGTTTGAAAGCCACCATACAATACAAATCCAAAAGGGTCATCACAGAGTTGTTTTCACACAAATTAGCACAGCAGTTACGATTTCAGAATCAGCCACCACACTCCACGTAAGCATCCACTATGCGATTGATAGCGACATGGACCTGTGGATTAAAAACAAAACACACTGTTGTCTAAATGAACATTCACAACAAATTAATGAATTAATAGAGATAGGCCCTATTATTATTATACAATTAACATTTTTAGCATAGAAATAGAGTAAATTTATATATATATATGATACTTTGGTTTCTCAGTGGGTGTTCAAAAGGTCTAACGAAGCTGAAAGGTTGTTCCAGCAAAAAGCAGGGCATTGTAGCTATATACGGTCTTTCTAATCTGATTCAGGTCAGAGAGTTTTTTAAAGCAACAGCTAAGAAAGTATAGCAAAATTTTATAAAGGTGAATTTAGTGTTTCTAATTAATGTTATAGGACTGATGACAAGTAAAAGAGTTGAATTCACAGCGACATTCAACAATACTACTGGGCTTGAAAACTGAAAGGTTGTGGGTTCAAACCTCATCAGGGGCCAACATTGTGTCCTTGGCAAAGACACTTGAAAAAAACACAAATTCTCTTTACTTCACTCTGGTGGGAATAGGTACCACGCTAAAAACAGCCAAAGATCTTGTCAATTTGATAGTATTTGAGCGCTTTTAAGCTGCCTGCACTATGCTCCCAAGGAAGCTAAGAATGTTTCTGAATGTTTTGCTGGGTTAAAAATAATATAGGCCTACTTATTATAAAAAGTGAAAACAACTTGCTGTTGAGGGAGGATCATGCACTATATTCTACAAAATCAATGCTCACACTATGTTGTGCAATGTATATTTTTATTCAACATATTGAGGAAATTACATTGCTTTCCAGATTTTTAAAAATGTTTTTTGGGAGGGGGGGGGGGGGAGCATGTCAGTTTGTCACAGACCTCGACTGTGTCCTGCATGATGGAAGTTATCTCTGACACTCTCAAAGAGTAAATTAATGATTTATTGATTGTATGAATTGAATTTTATTTTTCAATTGTTTCTAACGAAAGAACATTGATTGTTGAAATTTTACAGAGTAATTTAAATATGCTTTGATTTGCATACAAAAAGGAAGAAATATTGAACAACTCAAGCTAAATTGACATTTTAGAGGGACTATGCCTACACCGCCAATTTGAAGGTGGAGAATAAAAAACTAGTTACAACAACAGTGTTAAAGTTAATATTTAAAGCGCTGTAAAATTATTACTGTCATAATAATACTCAAATTTTTATACTTAAATGAAATTGAGACACACTAGGTCTGTGACAAGACAAACTGGGCAGCCCTGTGGGGGGTGGGAGGGGGGGGGGGGGTGGGGGGAGAGCTTTCACATTGAAAGTCCATGTTACTGTAAATGTATTGACAACATCTTTGGCTTTTGAAAAGACACTAAATCCCCATGAGTATGAGTCCCACATTAACATTGGCAATCACACTCTTCCAACTTTCCCCCTTATCACGTACAATCTAAATAAACTTTAGCTACTCCTTCTTTGCCTATAGATCTAGATCAAGAACTAGATCTAGAGACTAAATCAGCAAACTTAAATTGAAAAGCGCATCCCTTTTTATAGCCCAGCCCACTTTTAAGCTCTGCCTGCCTTTTTTTAAGCTTTTATCAAACAAGCTAAAAAAATCATAATAAAAACTCTGCCCATTGGCAATGGCATTGGCTGGTTGGCGGGTGCTCTGGTGTGGTTTGCTTACTTCTTTCCTATCAAACATCTATTGTCCTTATCTGGACCCTTTTTCTTTTTTATTAGATCTAGTTACTCTCTTCTAACACCTCTAATCTTCTGGCGCTCATCAGTTGCAAGCGCCGTAAAACCTCTACTAAAACTAAACTAAAACTCTTCCCATTTCAATGAAACCTACTTTTATTAACTACATGACATCAGTAGGCCTCTATACTAAACTTAACACAGCTGTCAATCTGCCAAGGCCAAGGCCACAACATGACAGTCCAATGAAGAAATTATGAACTCAGATTCAGAACCTAAACGATTAGGAATCCACTAGATCTAGATCTAGACTCTAGATTCTAGATATCTAGAATCTAGATCTAGATCTATGTCATGAGACTAGAGAAGAAGCCAAGCTGCTTTAAAAAAATATTAACAAACCTACCATTACCATCGCCAGCACACCTCGTCATATATTGTCATTACATCATTACATCACAATAAGATGTGCAACAACAGTTCTGTCTTGACACACACACACACACACACACACACACACACACACACACACATCAACATGGTGGATTGCAAGGAGAAGCACAATAATAGGCTACAATCTAAGCAGTAACCATAATTTCAGATTATACTAGATTTCTAGATCTATCTTTCTAGATCTAGATCTAGATATAGATCTAGACTAGATTAGTCTACAATGTCTTAGGCTGTCTTAGCCTAGATTCTCTAAATACTAGATCTAGATTTAGATCTAGATCTAGACTAGATCTAGAGATCTAGCCTATTACAAACTTGAAACGACAGCGACAATTTAATTTTGCAATAATAACAGACAAATTAAAACAATTATGAGACGTTTGCATAAAATGTACCGAATGCTTTTAAAGTTCAAAGTCAACCCTGCAGCCACAGAGAGCCTAGAATTAGTCCGTCGTAACTTCTTCTGCCTCACTCCGTGCCAACACACAATACATAATTCCGGAGCAGTAGGCTTACACACAACACATTCCTTGATACTGGCTCTGTGTGCTATTCGACTACGGGGTTTCACTGCGTTCACGTTAACTATTAGACTAACTGTGTCAGAGACGTGAAAAGCCAACACAAATAACCTAGTTCAGTCCTATTTATCGTGAGATTTTCCTACCTGGTTTAAAATTAAGATAAACATCCAGCTGATGCGGTAATGTGTATGTGTGGCTGTTGGTTTTTTGGGGTTGGTTTTTTACACATGAAGTCGTGAAGGGATTTCGAAGCAACCGCAGAAAGTAGGTCACCGTGTCGGCAGTCGACAATGCGGCGCTATTTTTGCGCAGGTTATCGAGAACTCTTTTACGCTACGGAATAAAAATCAGTCCCTTTTCCGTTAGAAAGCGAAAGTAGGGACTCAAGCAAGGCCTACCTCTCTTTCAGAAGAGCTAAAAGTAAAAAGACTAAAAAGAGTGCAATCCTCGGTTCGTGCTGTAGTTTTTCGAAAGCATAGACCTAATCTAGATCTAGATCAAGGTGAAATTATTCTGCTTCATGAATTTTGTTTCTCGTATTAGGACTTCCCATCCCTTAAATAAAAAGATTTTAAAAATGCTGATAAATCAGAGTTTCGCTCTCGCGCGTAATTATTTTCTTTTATCTAGATCTAGATTAGATCTAGAATCTAGATCTAGATCTCTAGCTAGATCTAGATCTAGATAATCTAGATGGTTTACATTTCCTTCCTCCAAAACAATCCCCAAAACAAGCTCAGCCGTTACACAAAACACGCCAAAGAAAAGTTTCAAATCGTAAGATTCTACCTATCGCACATGAATTAAAACAATATGCACTGATCAGCAAAACTAAACAATTTGTTCCTCAGAAAGGAGTGCACTTGATCATCCAATGACAGATCTCAGAGTTTGAAATAACTCGGGGACCATTTATTACTTTCCATTCCGTCAGTCGCCACAGCTGTTTCGCTCGCGTCAGATCTCGTAGTAGATCTAGGCTCTAGATCTAGATCTAGTAGCCAAAGTAAAGCGAGTGTGTGTGTGTGTGTGTGTGTGTGTGTGTATGGAGTGTGGAGTCCACAAAGTGTGCGTCGCGCTAGCTGGGCTTGAGCTGCTGGATCACTTTTTCTCTACACAACAGTCACTCCCCTCCCATTCCCCTCCCCCTTCCCCATTCCCACTGCCCCCTCCTTCCTCCACCTTTTACTACACCTGGTTTCCCTATTATTAGTGAGGTCAGAAACACACGGAATGTGTCCCGTTGCTACCCTTGACCCCGACGGGACCGTTAGGTCACGAAATACATTGGAAAATTAGGTCAGGACTAGGGCCTAGGCCTAAGGAGGTAGGGAGAGAAATGAACGATGACAGGAAGAGCTGCGGAAGGTCGAGGCAATGGGGATAAGAGGCAGGGAGGGAATCTCACGATTAGGAGGGGGTGGGGGAGGGTTTGGATTTTTATTAAAGAAAATGTCTTCGGTAGGCTAATGTAACGAAACTCAAAATGTTTTGTTTTTGTTTTTGTTTTTTGTTTTTTTTTGTTTTTCGCTTTTTAAAAAATTTGCTTTACTCCTATGAGAACTAGATCTAGACTCTACATTTAAAATTTAACGAACGCTATGAGTTAAACACAATTTGGTTCCTTTACTTACTAAATTTTTCGCCTCTAGAGTCTATAGCTAGGTTACAAAAGTCATAATTAACTGACCATGATTCCAAATGATTGACGTCAACAATCGATAGGCCACACTATTGAAATTTAGATATATTATCCATGAAATTTCACATTTTAGTAGAACTCTTCATGCTCTTTCCCTACTAATACGTCGGTATTGCATTGTGCCCCACCCTAGGCTTTCTCAGTCCTAGACCACACCACAATTATTCATCCCCAACTCTGTCGACTTTGGAAAGGATTCACAGACAAACTCTACGATCTCCCCC